GTAAATCAATCATATGAGATGTATTTACCCTATTTTCTTAACGTGTCAAGCTCACATGCTGTCACGGTTCGAGCCCCGCTGGGGGTGTTTATAAGATCTATGCAAGGTCAAAACAGCAGTCCACTCTGGATGAGAACAACTTTTGGGAAAGCAAGGCTCTGTGATATTCAGTGGAAACGTCAGCTCTACTCATGTCATTGTGGGAAAATTCTACTACCAGACCTTCATCACTTCAAATAAAATAGGGTGAATACATCTTAAATGGAATAGTCATAAATTGTCAGAGATAAAGGAATAAAGGTAGGGAGACGACCGAAAAAGGTACGAACGAGTACCGTGTATCAATAATGCGTAAACAGTTCCCTTAGAGAATTCAAATATTTGAATTCAGTACAAGGAAGCATTTGAACGCCTACTTGAACTAAAGCTTCTACATCTTTCCAGACCTCACTGTATTTCGATACAATATCTCTACAGTAAATGTGTCTTTAATTATATCAAGATAAAATGGAGAAAACAATGAAAAAAAAGACGAATTGGTTACCCAAAAAGAAGCTGTCTCATGGACTTAAGATTGGTTCGGAAAAATGGGCACAGAAACCGATAAAAAAACTTGATCTAGATTATAGAAACGTGAACTGTAAGTTGAAACCAGATACGGAATATGACAAGTCAAAACAGTCCTAGGACATAAGCCATATTTTTTGTCACAAATTTAATTTGCTCTATCATCACTATTTGGACCAATTCGCCAATGCCAATACTGCTATAATATTAATATCATATAGAAGTAGTTCAATGACCTAGTGACATCGATCAAAAGCTGTCGATAGTATAGCAAGGCATAAACACAAAAGCAATTTACCGGATTCATACAAATTACGGATAGCGAGCTCAATTCTTCCAAGAATGATATCGATCTGTGCCTTTTGGAAGGACACCTTCTGCTCATGTGTGAGTACGTTTACAAAATTGGTAGTAGTGCTAAAAGTAGGTATGGTTGAAGACGCAATAGTTGTGAGAGGTCCGGCAGGGTCGACAGGATTAGTAGAGATAGAGGAAATGGTTTTGCCAAAAGATGGAGATTTTGGCTCAAAAGTAGCGGTTAAGCTCATCAGACTAGCCAATTCTGCAAGGTATTCTTTAGGATCTAACTGGGTACGTTCTGCTAGGGCTTTGGCCAAGCTTAGATCGTAGGTTCCCAGGGCGACGCGATAAAGTGCCTCAGGGCTGGAAATATACTGCAAATGAAGGAGGCCTGACTCCCAGCCCTCGATATCACCGGAGTCTGAAGAGAAAAAAACATAACTGTGCGTATAAATATTTAAGCATGCTAAGCTGAACAATCAGTTTAGTAAAATTGCTTTAAAAGTATTATGATCATAGTTAAGGCCCTACCAGAACCAATATTCCAAATGACATCAAAGAAACGTATTTCAAATTAAAGTGAGCTAGATGTGATTCACTTAATAATAAAATATACTAAAACTAAAGAATTTCACGAACCTTTACATGGGAAAAGATAAGATGGAGTACAATTTTCCACTATAGTCACTAGTATAAAAAACCGTAAAAATATGCTAAAAGACAATAAAAGAATAAGAACCACTGAACACAATTTGACCTAAGAAGAGGTACTTAGGGCTCAGAGAGTATATAAATACGGACTAAATGTCATCGGATAAACTAACTGATTTTTAATAACCAAAAAATAGAAGTAGGTTGACCTCGTTGTCGCAACTTAGTCTTTTTGTCAGGGGGACTAGTAGAACACACCTAGTCAGATAATGGACTTGATACATTCTCAAACGTTTCGCCGGCATCGTAGTCGGCATCAATGTACCAAGTCCAATGTCTGATGCTGGGAATCATGACAACTATTATGGCAGACGACTTCGGACAAAGTGCGTTCTACTAAGTCACCTTGACAAAACAACCAAGTTGCGACGACGTCAACCTACTTCTATAAATCGAATGAAGACTGCAACCATACCAGAGGCCACAACATCTCGGTCTTCATATCTTCATTTATTTTCTACTTCATTAATGTATAAATACCACCAAACTAAAGGTATGGAGACCAATATGATGTGGTCTTTACGGAAATCGCGGCTTCCTTTCGTTGTAAAGTGGTTTGACCACTTGGCCGTATTGTCAGAGGAGCCTAGATGGACTCATCTGGTACATAATTTTCTGCCATATGGTAATTCCCACCTCTAGAACGTGGGCTTGGTATATTCCCAAACGTTTCGCCAGCAATGCAGTCGGCTTGAAAATCCAGGCTTTGGGGACCTGCTCGGCGAGGCTAGAATATATGTGCTATAAAATGTTTAAAGCAGATCGTAGGAAATGAGGCTTTGAATAGTTTATATATTGTGACAGTAATCGGGTAAACTCATTGAACATGGAAAATAGGACGAATCACACAGAGCACGAGAGGAACTCCGAGAGGACCCAGATGAAGTAAATTAGAGGCTAAAAAGCAAGGATGGATCAAAATTTCCAGCAAAATTGAGGGAATGAGGGAACCAACAGATTGTGAATGGGCCTAAAAAGGGCACCATACTCGAATAGGTAATAACCTGCAAGTGAAACGCCGTGACAATGAAGGGGGCGATATGAGGATATGGAGTAGGTGAATATGCCAGGACAGGAGAGAGGCCACAAATATTCAGCAGACAGTCAGTTAAGGAATTGACTCCATTTGTCTCTTTGATTAGTTGTAGTTTGGTGTTAAGAAGGATAAGGCTCACTGATGAAGTCGACGGAACGTCTGAAGATATACCCAATACACAGTCCGATGTTGAAAATTATTAAGGAATAATATTGCAGAGTACTTCGGAAAAGATGCTAAAACGAGGTTGAACAACGTCTAACACCCAATTAATCTGAAAACTAGTTGAATTGGCTTTGTCTGAAGTTAGAAACAGGATAAATAATACCAAAATAAGATTAAACCAAAAAATAGTATCAATTTATTTATGTGGCTCACCATTATGATAGATATTATGATCGAAGAATGTCTATGTTTACGCAATATATCTGGCTATACAGAATTGTGTACAAATGGGTTTGTAAGCCGAATTAAAAGGTTAACACAATATAGCACTTAAATGAAAAAAAAGGGAAATTTATCAGATAAAGGACAAGAAAGAGCAGGACGCCAACTATATACCCCTTAGGAAAATATATATTGGAGAAAAGTGGAATTAAAAATGCCAAACTCAAACCCATTTAATTTGGTAAACGAAGTTGGCACCAAAATCTATTCTAATTAATAAAGGATATTTAACTTCAACTACCCCTGTTAGAGATAGGAAAAAATAAAACGAATTTTATTTTTAAATGCCAGGTAGTCTGTAAAAGAGGACAAATTATAACATTAAGGAAGGAATAAGGACAAAATATTAGAATAGATGTGACAAGATCGCTAAATTCTTATTCATAAGAAAACAAGTGCCATCTCACCTTTTAGTTTCTTTAATGTAGTCAAAGCATCACCAAGTCGATCTAGCTTCGCATAGCATGTAAGAATTGGAAGCAGATATCTGGCAAAATCGAAAAAAAAAATTCTGTTTAAATTCTCCGTATGGTCATTTATTTCAACTAAAATAGCTTATCGGGACTTGATATATATGTGCCAGTGTCAAAAGATTTAACTTGTCAGCTTTATATATGTAAGATAAATCGAAACGACTAAATGCACTACTTTATCTTAATTAAGTAGAGGGTACGAAGACCAAGGTTGTGTGACCTCTATTTTATTCAGCCTTTTATCGCTGTATAGAATTTGTTTGATTTAGTTACTGCAACCTAATCGTGCCATCAGAGGGACCTCAAAGAAAGTACAGTCAGCATCTTCTGCTATAGAAATAAGAATAATATCCAGCATGTGACCGTAGACTTGACACATTCCTAGGCGTTTCGCCGGCATCGTTATTGGCTCTGAAGATGAGCCTTGCAGAGCGTAGTACCATATTACAACTCGTCAAAGAGACAAGTCAAGTCAATCTCTCGATCAACTTTGTGATGAACAGTTGCAGTATCTCTCCTTCTGCAATGGTTGAGAACACCTAAGCCATTCAAGTCTAGTCTTATTTAGTAATACGACCTGTAGCGCTTTTAAGGTAAATCAAGCTTCTTAATTCACATTATTTAGAGGAATTTTTTTGAGATAGAGAGAAAAGTTTAGTGCACTTTTGAAGACAAAATAGGTATAATGAGTAGATTCACTATCAGCCTAACAAAAAAACAGCCGAAACCAGAATATGCGAACAACAAGAAACCTTTTAGGACCTTAGTGTTGAAATTTGGCAAACTTAATATTAAAGAATAGCTTCACATAAAAAATCTTAAAATAATCTCACTTCAGAAGGAATAAATAAATAAATATATGGATTGCAAATAATGGAGAAGGATTATTTACTTTTGTGAATTCCTAGTTAGCATGGCTACTAGAAGAGCAATACAAACGCAATGCATCTTCCCCAGCTTTCTGTCAGAAACATTTGAAAGTGTCGTCGGACTCTTGGCAGGCACTCCAGATATAGGTTTATCTGTCAAAACAGTCTTGCGTCCCGAAAACAATTCAGCCAGATTAATGCTCTCTATGAGATGTTGTTGTGAATGCTTTACAAGCAATTCGTGCCAAAAATCTGTCGGTCGTTGTTCACATTTTATCCGATCAACCATCTCAAAAGATCGAAAGGTACCATCCGAGCTTGAAGAGGGGCCTCGTAAGTGCTTATAATGAATCGCGTAAGTAGTGGCACTAAGATCTTCATCGCTGAATGATTATTCGTAGGAAAAGGGTGAAATTGGGAAAGATTATGACGGGTTTAAGAGGAATACAAGTTAATACTATGTAAGAGCTAAATAGGGAGGTATTAATTTGCTAAAAGAAAAATAATGATAATATTGATGTTTATAGGTGAGAGGATAAAAAATAGTTATGAGGAGAAAATAAGTTTCGAAGAGTTCCTTAAAAGTGGTGTTGGTATATCTTCCATTTCGTTTGAAAATACGGGTAAAAGAGATTCAAAAATTGGCCTAATCGAAAACGTAAAAACTTGTGATTAGGATTGTGCGATAAAGGTATGGGCCAACTGTCTGAAGGCCTTAATTAATCAGTACTGAGTTTTCCTCTATCATATTGCAAACATAGAGGCAGAGGCTGTCATTTAAAAAATTCAACAGAACAAGAAACCAATTAGGTTGTCAGACAGCTTAATGAGACATACCATGGCTTGTAGAAATGAAGAAAAACTGGGCTTAGAACAATTCCTAAGTAGATTAATATTGGTGTACCTTTCATTTCGTTTAGAGGAAAGTGGAAAGAATTCATAAATTGGCCTCATTGGGAGCAGAAGGATCTTCCTGGAGGTATGACTAGATTTTTAGGAAAATGTAATCGGCATGCCGTTTGAGGTTGCAGGACGATGTGACAGTCCTATTGTGGGAGAGACCTATGGACTCAAATATTAGAGATTATCTAGAAACAAAATCGTATGGAAAGGTTTATAGGCATGTAAATCAGAAGTAGTTTGACAAAGAGAGTGGTCTAAAACCCAACGTTGTTCAGGATATGGAAACTTTACGGCTAAGCGGAAGATAGTGGAATAGATATAAATCCACAAAATAAACAATATATTCGTATTTATTACGAATTTGATGAGATAGGCCCGGTCTTCCTTGAAACTCAAGTTTGCTCTGAGACCCAGTGGTATTCGTGGCAGTGTGGCGTAGTGGCAAAGTAGCGAAATTACACTGCACTTCTCATGCTCGATTCACAATTAAGTGCAATGGAGACCCAGGCGAAGTAGAAACTGCAGTCCACATAGGATAGAAATACCTGTTGGAAAGCAAGGCTAACAAAAATTAAATGAAAACGTGAGCCATAATCATATCACTGTTGAAAAATTCAACTATAAGTACTTCATCACCTTATGCAATCTAGGGTGAATGTAAGTCTAAGACATAAGTTAGTCAAATTTTCATCTCGTAAGCAAGTTGGATAGGAGGGATTCGTCAATTGTCTTTAGCGATAATTCAAAGAGGATTGCAAAGTCTCAGGACGATGAGCCGAGGACTGCTATGCACGACCAAACGTTCTCCAATCCCATGAAATTCTCATTCGGTTTCTGAATCCCTTACGACCAAGATGAAAAATCAAGGCACATTAAATTACTAAGGGATTCTTCAAGAGCCCGCCTTTTTTCATATAAAACAAACAATATCCTTAATTCAAGCAAGAACTATCGTTGGCCATTAGATAGCAGTGATGAGAGAGGGGGAAGGAGTAGGACGGGCCATCACCTGACTCACCTTGAGTCTGGTTAGGGCATACACAATTCCAAAACACGCACCAGCATCGCAGGATTAAAAGTTAGGTTATTTATATATCAAATCCACTCATCTAGAAACACATAGAGTAAGCATGAGGTAATTAACCAAATCGTGGGATGCCTTATTAAGATTACGAAATAATGTAAGTAAGTAGGAATTCAGTGAACCACCTTTCTTCGTTTAGCAGTTCGATTAATATTTCATAGGTGATAATTTATAGCTCTGACAGTGTCTGTCACATGACAGATAAAAGCTCAGCAAGGATTCATCGAGGTATAGGATGATAGGCTGAGGTTTTATTTATACTATCCCTTACATCCGTAGTTTTAAACAAAAAGAAAGGTACGTCAACGCAAATAATAGTAACTAGGCAAGGATATAATTAAATCCGACTGGATATATGTAGAGTTAACTATAGCAATAGAATGAAAAAACCTCTGTTCAAATCCAGTAACAGTTTCAATGGCAATTCTTTGTATATATTTGAAGGAAATGGATTTGCAAGTAGGCCTCACCAAAACCGGCCTACTAAGCGGATTTTTTTACTAATAATAATTATCAGTAAAGTATCTATAATAAAATCTATTTAAAGAATTTAAAGTTATCTTCGTACTTTAGCTTTCTTCGAAATTCTTTGAATCTCCATTAAAATAGTCCCGAAAAAGTTTTATCTGGGAGCAAGCAAAACCACAGAGATATTACCAATTTATATTGGTATAAGGTTTCGATACGATCAGAATATCTTAAATAAATATCAGTCACCTTAGGTCGCATAAGGTGATGAAGGACTGGTAGTTGAATTTTACCGCAACAATGTGGATAGGCTCCACGTTTCCATTGAATTTCATTTGGACTTGCTTCCAAAAAGGTATTCTTTTCAACCAAAGTGGACTGCAGTATAGATCTCGAATAGGACTCATCAGAACCACGAGCAGGAGTTGAACCTGGGTGGTAAGGCGTATAATCTCGAGATACTACCAACAAACTAAAATATCCCCAATGCCCATAGGTCCCCGGGCAGAAGTGAAGTTCAAGAAAGAAAAGGAATCTCTAATATCACATTTATAGTGGAAACGTCGATGAGGTAAATTTGTGTCGTGCC